TAATGCAGGTCTGACTAAATTAGACCAAAACTGGATCACAATTCAAGCTCTGTACAGAACAGATGGGGACCTACTTTCTGTACCGTCTTCCAATGGCAGCTTATTACCTTTATAGGGCAGTGTCACAGTCTCTCATTTCTACGAACCACGACTCTTACCTACCACCAAGTAATTAGGTTTCAGTTGTGCCCTACCACGACTCACCAAATATTTGCCATGCTAGCTAGTCTGGTTGCCCCTTGTGACTTAGAAAGTCAAAACAAATATGACTTGGGAGTTTGAATATTAAAAACGTATTTAATGTTGAAGATGATGATGAAATGGAGCTCGATATTTGTATTTATTTATCTCTGGTATTGTCACTTCGATTGTATTACATTTATTTAATAATTTACACGATTCTGAGGTTATAATGATATCCGTTATATTGGCTCATGAACCTGAGCAGGCCAAGGCACCGTCACTCGAGCAGGCTCCTATTTTGATGCCGTGAGGTGGCTGAATGTGCATGTCCTTTTAGACTTAAGTGTACAGCGTGTAATGATGATGAAGCAGCAAGTTAGGCTCCCTAAGAATTTCAGAGGTAATGCCGAATTCTCCAGATGAACATCTATCAACGGGACCTGAGCGTTTCCAGCTGTTCAATGCTTGGATTTACTTCAGAAGGATTTTGCAGTGGCAGTGAATGGCAGATGCCATCTCTTGTCAAGCGTCAAGTGGGGTTATTTATGGAATGGCGGTGGTTGATCATTATTTAACACGGCTGAAAATTGTGGCGCTGCTCAGTGCAGCTGTGGTGGAATTGCCTGAGTTATTCTTAGATTCGGACTCTTATGGATGATGCACTCCATAATTTTGTGGGGATCCTGCAGTGGTTATTAATTATCAATATGTTGTCGTAGATGGTCTTGACTCAGGGTAATGCTGCCAATCAAAGGCAGCAGGGTACTGTTATATTTTCCTGGCCCCAGAAGGATGTTCCTGCAGTACTTATTTAAATATATTTTTAAAGTGCACCAAATTACATTTGGAATTTAATGCTTTTCCTTGTCTTAATTTTATCATGAAAATGTATTTTCATTTGGTTGTCCAGGCTCTTTGCTAGGGCTCGGCTGTGTACTTTATACTTATGTAGTGGCTCAACTCGGAGGCAGTAATTCTTCGAGGCACTTACTTTATTATATGCACAATCTCCCTTAACACACCATACAGTCGCCTCGGCTACACACACCCTCGCCTTTCCACAACACGAGCCGTCTAACACTGATGGCGCTGACCGATACAGCTAACAACCGCATAGCAGCGCACTATTAAGCGATGACGACGACTGCTACCACCTGAGAGAAGAATGGTGACGACTATGGACTTGAGCAGCACGACGGGGATGCCACTTACAATCAACAGCCACGAGGTCCTGCACAGGGGCCCTTGTACTGTCGGCATGGCCTGGCTCCGCCCCCGGCCAACGCCCCCGGCCAACGCCCCCTTTCTAGGACTGACCAGCGGGTTCTTGGTCTGCCCCTTCTGTGACCTTTCCCCTCGATCCCCCTCTGGTGTGTCACGTGGCCTGCTGATGTCAGGGCTGCCGTAAACCGCAGATCCCCTTCCCCGCCAGCAGCCAGCGCTATGCTGCTACATTACTTATTCTATGCCACTACACTTATATTACAACAACCAAATATAAAATCCTACCAATCCCTCTTCCAATACCAATGGCTTCTTGATATTGCAGATGATAACACATAGAAGGTCCGTGGCTTCCTGTTCTCAGTCTTCATCCAGCCGCAACCATTTTCTCTCCTGGCTTGTAGCTGTTGCCACTGTTGTTCAGAGCAATTACTCTCTTTCGTTGGAGCTGCCACCCCTGGTCAGGCTGCACATTTGGGATTGAGGTTTTCTGCCCCCAGCATTTTATACGCTCTCCAAAATGCCTTTGGGACATGGTCCTTTGTGGATGTATTTGAGTGCTCAGATGTTCGTACATGTGGTGCGTGACCTAGAGTATCCCCTGGAGGATTTATGCACTCGAATCTTACTGAATCTGCTAAGAGAAAAGGCATGCCTTGTACAATGATCGCTTGACCCCTCCTAAAAGCATTGCAGGCCAACTCTTCATTTGCAGTGCATAGCTGTATGACATAGGGTGACTCAGGATTTCCTTTATGTTTCTCTGTATTTAGTACCCTGCCAAATCGAGTGAACCAAGCTCAAATGAGGAATGTGCAAACTAAAATTGTAGCTGTCTTTAGGTTTTTTGTTATCCAGAAAAGGTGTCCATTGAAAATGTTAAAAAGTGTTACGATGAAAGTGGTATATAACATAGGTCTACCCTAAAATGACCAACTGAGCCTAGTTACAGAAACCTTCGTCTCATAACAAGTGCATATGCGAATGCCGATGTACAATTGTGTTCTCTGCAAATAAGCACACTGAGCACATGCACCTACTTGAATTTAATTAGCAACTTACTGCAGGGCAGACCCTTACACTTGGCAGACACTCGCAGGGCTCACGTTTCACTCCCTTAATAAAAGCCAGTCCCAAGTCAAATGGAAAGCTGATCTCTGTCCAACTTCATTCCTGACAAGAAAAAAAAATCAGCCGTGTAGTGACTGTGGAATTGTACCCAATGTCGTTCTCTTTGGAAGTAAAGGGTTTTTCATGGTTGCGTTCATGTGAACCCCATTGATGTGATGTTTCCAACAAGGCAGTGGATATGTTCTTGAAAAATATGCACGGTTAAAAAGCATTCTTTGAGACTTCAGATACTTCATTGCCGTGGTTATACGGTACACTTAAAGGTGAATTCGTACAACAGAACCAAATTCATGACGGTGGATTTTTCTATGCAACTCCATGAACAAATGAAAACATAACCTTCATTTATTCCTAATAATTTCAACTTGTGACATGCACAGTTTTTACTCACACTCGACGAGTGGCTCAGGGGCACAATTGACCACAGACGAGCACAAAGGCAGCCATGCAGTGAGCTGGTGCAAACAATTTCCCAAGCTCTGCATTCCTGTATATATTCAGGTGTTATCAGCCAATTAATCAGGGCTTTGGGTTTGTTTAAGCATTCCTTGTTCCATGTAAAAATGTTTACTTAATTGCCCTGGATATCATCACATGCATCGTCATATATTATACCTGTTTGATATGTGCAGCTGGATTTGGTACAACGTTTCTAAGTATAATTACAGTTCAAAATGATTGACTGAGTGCTGACATTAATTACTTGGAAAATGTAGAGTTCATTTGAATACACTCCCAACTAAACAGTTGGGTATGATTCACTCAATTCATAGTTGTGGGTCACTGTCTGGTTATGCTCATGGGAGAATGCAGCTTTCCATGAAATAATTGTTATGTTTTGTTAATGCACTAAAGCTGGGACCACCTGTTTCTGAAAATTCAGGGAAATGAACACCAATTTGAAATATGATAACTTTTGTACCTTGTGGATTCCTGGCTTTGCTGGAAAATGTGGGTAATCTGGAAAACTAGTTGGAATCCAGTGTGAAGGTTTACAGAATGATTAGAGGACCATCAACCGCAGTAGTATATAAGATAACATGACGACACGTACTATTGTGACTGCATCAGGGGTATTGACGTTGATAAAGAGTGTATCTTGCATTTTGGAGTTTGATTGCTAAATGTCTGCTGTGGAATGCACATTAACGACATTTGTATGTATCTATTTATTTATTTCAATAGATTACTCCACACTAATGCTGTAACATAAATACTTAGCTGGAAAATTACCTGCAACTAAATTGTAAAAACACGTAATGAGGTTTTGCTATTTAATTAGTTTTCCCGAGTCCCTCTGAATTATTATCAGTGTACTAAATAAAGTAAATTGATTGACGTGGATGTGTAATGCTTTTAAGTTAGGGCCTATTGACGAGTTACACATCTGTGGTGATGATTGTGTGGTGTAAGTATAGTTTACAGGGCAGCAAGTGTTAACATTAAACATAAGTATAACCCGTAAAAACAAAGTTTTTCACTATAAATCCTTATATGCGTGGCGGCTAGAGTCCTCTCGTCCTCTGGCTTGAGATGGCTGTCACCTATGGGTCAGATGATTGTCTGCAGTATTAAACAATTGGTAATTAAATATTTAATTTGTTTTCCCTAAACAGTGTAAAATTTGGGAAATTTTTTTTCACGAACATTAATTGTCTCGCACAACGAGTCTGTGCAAAATGTCAGCTCGATTGGATCACGGGAAGTGGGTTAAAAAACGACCGAAAGGTTTGCACGGTCGTAAGCAAGCAAGCACGCAAGCAAGCAAGCGAACTTAATATAAAGGATTTAAAAAATGGCACTTCTAGTGGGTGCCAGTGGGTTACATGGATAGTCAGGAGGTGCTCAGAGCTGCCTAGCATTAATTAGATATTGAGAATATATTCACATGAGATGGATATCCTTCAGAAATGTACATTCCAAGCTTTAACAAGGTGGCTATTTTTGGAATATACCATTTGTAGTAACATTGGTTGCATAGATGGTCATATTATTAATTTTGTATGTTTTTGCGGCCTATACAAGCTACATTCTAAGTTTTAAAATAATGTGCTTTTTCACTTCCTTGAAACAGTCGCACTGTTTTCTAATAAAGAAAGTAGTTGAAAATCAGGCCAATTGTGGTTAGCCTCACAGTGGTGAAATAGATTCAAGTCAAGTATTCAACAGCATTGAGGATCTCTGATCAGTACTCTTTGGTTTTTTCGGTAAAGTCACGTAGGTGAAAAATATAAAATAAATGAAAAATGAAAAAAATTTAATCACGACGTTTCGGGCGCAACACAAGCGTCCTTCTTAAGGTGGGGACAACATAGCAAATCTACAATCTCTGATCAGCTTTTGCCACTTGGCTACTCCTTTTTCTTTGCCTGCCACAATGAGTGGCACTTACTGATACCCACGCCAAGATTTGAACAATGCTGAACTTGTGTGTCTGTGTGTGTGCGCCCCCATTTGTGTAGGGAGGACAAAATCAAGTCGTCCTACAAACCAGTGCTGCTTTCCGGGTCACTGAGATGCCCTACAAACTACTTCCTGATGAATTCCCATCAGGAAGCAGAGTGGTATGTTTCACGAATGCAATTGCGCTGCATTACATTGACTACTGGCTCCCAGTCCTTAGTTATGCCAAGGCTTTTAAAAGGCAGTGCACTGTGCGGTCGTAGCACAGAACCTCTGGGAAAGCCCATTTTAAAATAACCTTCAGATTGGTTGCTCAACCCAGGCACGGTGGGCAATGTAATGGCCATGTTTTATAATTTAGAACTGGAACATTAACAGTGAGTGCGTGTTATTGGGTTGCACGGTAAGCGTCGAGTACAAACATAAATAGAAACTGCCAGAAAATCATCAAGAGTAATCCCACATGCCTAATGGATTAAATATGCGTCTTCGTATTTGAAGCATATTGTCAAACTGTAAAAAAGAGTTTTCCCACAAGGAAGTAGTATCAGCAGCACTGCAGCAGGCTTATGAATGAATAATGTATTGACTGAACAGAACGTGTTATTTACAACCAGGTGAGAGCCGACTGAGACAAATTATTGTTAACAATGGAGCACCAACCTATTTGTTGACATGCTTGGCATGTGCGGCCTATTACAAAAGATATATATACTCATTAAGGAACGTTCCAATATTATCAATGGTTGACCTTCCTGATAAAATAAACATTGAGAATTGGTAAAGCTGTATGTGTACGTTAAGGATATTCGTAACACCAACACTTGTCACTGGCCCAAGTTTTAGTGTAACAGGAATGAATCCTTTACTTCGCTCAAGATATTTATAATAATTGTAATGTAAATAGTTTGTTTTAAACAGCAGCAGCAGGTAAATATTCAGTACACAAAGTGCCAAGCTGTCATAATCCTTCATTTTGGGTTGGGGATTTGCCTCCAGATTGTAGTAGTACTCGTCGGCTGTTCAGGCTATTGTGAAGGTTCGCCCATTTAAATAGGAGATAATGGCACAGTGGAGGAGATGACATCGACGACGTTCCCATCGTGTGTACGTTGTGGGCCGCCAGGTGAACACGACGGTGGTTCTTGTGAAAGCGGGGTTCCAGCGCCCCGTGCCCTACTGGGTGATTTTCTTGGCTGTGCTAGCCGGGCTGCTGCTCTTGGCCCTGCTCGTCTATGCCCTGTGGAAGGTGAGTTGCAGCCCTTAGGGAGGGGGCGGGCTGGGTCATTGCGGTTACACCCATTGCATTTACACGTCGCGTACATCCGCAAGTGGTTGAGATGTTTGAGAAATAATTAACACTATGGGAACCTCATTTGCCAGTAAAAATATGATAATTGTTTTTTTACCCTTCTAGCTGGCAACAAAACTGACACCTTTTTAAAAGGAGTCATGTTTGCATAGACCGCAATACCTGCAGTCATAATACAAACAAAAGACATAACTCTGATAATGTATGCACTGTCCTTGAAGTTGATTGGTCCACACCCGAGACAGCTTTCCTTAGAGCCTAGTCTCACATGGGTTGGACCAGATGACGCCAAAAGGCGCACTTTGGCGTCATCTGGTCCAACCCATGTCAACAATTATAATATAATTAACGTCATATTTTACGTAAAAAAAGGACATTTCAAACAGTTGCGGAAAAAATAGGAAATTCCTTATAACCGTGGCTGACACTAAAATGTATTCAATTGGATTTATTCTTCTTTTTACAATGTTTAACGTAATTTTTTTTTCTGTTTTTGTGTCTGTCCATTGCATAAAACACACATTAAAATTTCACGCTTTTGCATCTATGTACCATCACACCTGCATGCGCAAACCTTCACACGTTTGCACACGTACACATGCAAACGCGCAGATGGGATTTTTCAAGCGGGAGCGCTACATGCATGATGAGATTCCCGCTGAAAAAGCATTTCTCAAGCCGCGGCAGAATGGAGTGGAAGCCTGACCGAAGCAGACCGGGACTAATCTGCACCAGGCCTGACGAGACCGGATTGAATTAGATTCTGAAAGAAGCTGGCCTCACGTCTGACTACGTTGAGCAGCAACGCTGAGCCAAATGTCAGATGCCTGGAATGGCCAGAAACAGACTGCATGGGATCAAGCAGCATGAAACGCCATGGACAAGATCTGATGCTCAAATTGGGAGCAATCGCAACAGAGAAAATTACATTAAATATCCAAAGACAATATTCAACTATTATTTTATTAGCATTGGCAAGGGACCTGGTCCCTAGAGAACAGATGTTAGGCCACGAGACTGTCTGGTTATTACACTGTCTACTGAATGGGAAGAGTTGACCAAGCCATGCAGAGTTGTGCAGACCCACACTGTGCTGGGCTGTGTGAAATGACAGGAACAGGTTGAACTGGATTTGCTGTTCTAACTCAGGTCTCTGCCAGCATTTCTTTGGATCATGCTTGGATTGGTGGTTCCTTAAAACCTCTGCTTCTTGCACTGAATGTTAACAACTGTTTTTCTTCAGTGTCGCGTGTTGTTAAGGACTTTAATTTCTGCACCGTCCATCTGAGGGAAAGCACTGGGCTATTTGCTCGGTATCAATGCCTACCCCCCCGATGCAAGCCTTGACATGCACACTTTCAACCTGCCTGATCCATAAACAATGACAAAAATATTAATTTTGGGTTTTTTCCCCTCATCACGAGTCGTGTAAATAATGAAGCTGCATATGCTACCAAAACGTTGTCGATTGTTCAACTCTGCATCTTATTTTAAGAGGAATTCGGCTGACTATGGGTTGGTTTAATTATGCATTTCTCTACACCTAGAGTTTGGAGCACCAATGTTTAAACCTTTTATGTTGATTGCTTGACAGAATAATAAATGACGCGCTTCCACAGGAGTGGCTTCGACACTTTTGCCAATGTGCCTTCACGTCCGACATAAGCCACTTATGCTTCTATAGGCATTCTATTTTAATCACTGCTACCCTTTCCACAGTCAGCAGCAAATTCCTAGAAGCCAAAGAAGTGTGTGAGGTGCAGTGTCTGTTGGAATTGCATATGTAGCTATTTCTGTTTTGTTCTTGGTGCTGAATTATGAGTGTCTGGTATCACATTTACAATTGATCTTCATTGTTTGAGGACAAAACACATGTATATTTATCTTAATTATAATAGTAACAACATGCATTGTTCACAAAAGTATTTATGTTTTTTATAAGCTGTAGGGTAATTTAAAGAATTAAGAAAAACAGAGACTGCAAACATGATGCTCTTGATGGCTGCATGACAATTTGCAAGTACTGCCCTCGTTGGAGTGCAATATGACAATGTTCTTCATCCACGTGCTTTGTCCTTGGTTGGAAAGCCCTGTAAACTGGTGTTGTATCAGGAATAACAGACGCTACCCGTCTAATTTTGGGGCACAATCCAATTTAATAAACTATTGTTTCAACATTGTGGTAAACGTATCTCCTTTAGTGGCGGCGGAGGGCCATGCGAACGAATTACATACAACATATAATTGATTCTCACTATATTTTATGTGTGCATCAGGATAAAAAAACACATTGACTAATTGATGATGCATACAATTTCCAATTGTGACCACCTGTGACTGCATAGTTATGGCATGCGAATATGGGGATGAGATGATTTTGAGGTGGTGTTTGTTGTGGCCTTTGGAGTGCTATAGATTTTACTTGGTATATGACAATGCAGGAGAGTTTTCGGTTATTCGTTATGGTAGTCTCAAATGCAATAACCAAATTATATTGTAACGTATACGGCTTTGACATTTCAACAGATATCCAGCTTTATAACCCCTTTTCGTGTGACTGCCACATACTATTAAATCACAGATTATATAGTCAATGGATATCATCACAATGCATGTTTTACAATTCATTGGCTTGATGTGAATTGGCCATCAAGTTAAAAAAGAACACTAATGTTGCTTAGCTATCTTTGATACAATGACTTCCCCTTGTCTTGGTTTTGATGTATGCTCGTGTTTTGTATCTGTCAAATAATTAAGCTCCTGCACTTTACTTGCAAAAGGCATGTTAGCAAATGTCTGATCTAAAAATCTGGATTTTTTAAAGTGCATTAAATGTTTGTATAAAACACTTTAAAGGCACATTTTAACACGTTTAGACATTTCATTTTATTGTACATTACTTTAATAATGCCCCCAATGTATCGGCTGCGTGCACTTTTAATCACTGTTAGAAAGTCAGGAATAGTTGAAGTGCGGAAAATCTTGCCAATAATGTTACTGCCAAAATGACCTCTTGTCTTGTGCTATTGCGAGCATTGTACAATCAAAGCCGATACACCTTCCAAAATGTACGCTTGTGCTAGATCCTTTCAAGGGTTAATTTATCAGGAGTTAATAAAATAAAGTGGTGTAGTGTGGAGCATTGGTCGCTATTATTAGCTGAATAGAATCTGCCTCCCGTTACTGTAATAGCCATAATCACGATGCAAGCATTTTTTGTATAATTGTGTTGTATTTCCTGCCTCTTGGCACATACAAGCGATGGAAATATACAGGTAAGATTGGCAATAACCACGCCACAAAGGCGGGATTGTTGGAATTAAAATTAGAAGCATTGTGTCTGTGTGTCTCTACGACCGTATTAGAATGCTGTGCTTTTTTTAAAATCCTTTATATTAAGTTCGCTTGCTTGCTTGCGTGCTTGCTTGCTTACGACCGTGCAAATCTTTCGGTCGTTTTTTAACCCACTTCCCGTTATCCAATCGAGCTGACATTTTGCACACAAACTCGTTGTGCGAGACAATTAATGTTCGTGAATTTTTTTTTCAAAATTTTACACTTTAGGGAAAACAAATTAAATATTTAATTACAAATTGCTTAATACTGGCAGACAATCATCTGACCCATAGGTGGCAGCCATCTCAAGCCAGAGGACGAGAGGACTCTAGCCGCCACGCATATAAAGGATTTATAGTGAAAAACTTAGTTTTTACGGGTTATACTTATTCTACACTGGGGTTCACTAAGAACATATTCTTTCAGTGCATTCGACGAGAGCACATATTGCAGGCAGTGTGGTCATCTGGGCTTATGGTGAAAACTTTGTCTTTACAGAAATGTCCTCGGATAATAAACAAGTGCTCTGTGGTTTGGCTTTGTTTTTGATCACATGATGGCATACGTTATTATTGGGGGTTTCCCCCCCCCCCCTAACCTGTATAGAAATTCTCAAACTTCATTCCCTGGACTGCCCTACAATGAATATCTACATTCAAATGTTAATTCCTCTTCCATGCACACGAGGGACATTGGTCAAAAAATATTAAAACCTGTAAAGGGGGAGAAATCAATTTTGGGAAACTGCTGGCTTTTTTAATGAAGCACTGCAAACTGGGTCCTGAAAACATACATTTTAACATACTCATTGATATTTTTTTTGTAAACGTTCATTCATGGAATTATTTGGTTACATATATGGTCAGAAATAGAATTTACCAACAGTTGGAAAGTGTGCACTTAATTAAGGTGACTTTTCAATTATAATTGTGATCAGCAATTGTGGTGAGACACAAGGCCCTGCCACAAGAGCAAGGCAACATTGTGACATTTTGATTCCACCTAGTGTATTCATGAGCCAATTATATTCGTTCAGCCTTAGTTCCATGGGTATACGACTCATTTTTCCCCATGTAGACATTTTAAGTCATGCAATTCCACTTGTCATTGTTATTTTTATAAGTTAAATTATTCTGTAACAGGTTCACGATTTAAGAAAGTTTCTGCATATTGTGGTGTCTGCCAACTTGATTTAAGTGTGGCATTTATTTTGTATTTCGTTTAGTGTGTGTGTGCGGTTTTATTTTGTACACTGCCTAGTGTGGTTGGTAGACTTTGCATAATACTGTAATATGTATAAGGTCTATGAAGAATGGCTGGGGTAAGAGTCTGCCAAAAGCAGTAGTAACTTTTTTATGATGAGATCCTGTAACCGTGGCTCGTATAACACATGTTCCAACAAATCGTACAGCAATTTTTTTCTTTATCAAATCATTAAAAGCAGTTCCAATATGTGACTTTCAAAAATAAACACTTACATGAGCTGTCTGTCAGCTATGTGTTTGACATTAAAATGCATGCATTTGACATGTTTGCATATTTGGTGCGAGTACAAAATTCTGAGCAATGCTTTTGCAGATTCTTACCTTGGGTGTGCTGCTGACATTGTACAAGAGTGGGTTTGTAATTAATAAAGTGATTTTGTAAATGCAGATTAGACTGCAAGTGATGGATTTATCACAGTGATTTATTCGGCCAAGGAAGAAGTGGCTTTTGTGGAATTGCTTTGGCAAGATTACGAATTCTACTGGAATGTTCTATGATTAATAAAAAAATCGGAAATTAATTGTAAGCTTCTTGCAGCATTTTTTTGAAGCTGCATATTGAATTAAATGGTGTATTTAAGGTGGCAATTGCTAATATTTGTTGTATTGGTTGGGAAAACTACCAGATCCATGGAAAGTCTACAAAAACTTTGACTCAAATCCACTCATGGCTTTAATTTAAAGCTTCCTAAACGTACTGATGAATAATTACATTGTATAAAACATGATACTTACAAATAATGCAAGTTCAGGTTCTCATTTTTTATATATTTTTCATTTTCCGCGTTTTTTACAAATGACAGTTTGTGGTTTAGTAATAGTGCTGCTCAAATTTGCACAAGACATTTTGTTAGCTGAAAGTAATGGCTTATCTTTGCTTGACTGCAGTACGTTATTCAATTGAGTCATGTTTTTCTCTAGAATTTGTTTTACTTTTATTAAATTTGAATATTGATTATTGTACCTAGAAGGTAATGACTTTCCCAAGTAAATGTGTTTAGATCAAGTAGTAAGTGGAAACGTTATTTGGCTATTTGATGGACAAATGTGTCTGACCTAAGACGAATGTTTCAACGAGCACACTTCCTCCTAAACCCACACATCTGTTCTTACGCGGATGGTAGCATCCTAGTTTGTGTAGACTTTCCACCGAACATAACCTTTTGTCGAGTCCATTCTGAGTCAATTCTACGTCCGAATAGTATCGTATAGTCTTCTGCTTTAACTGTCAGCAGGCTTTATGCCACGTTTTTTTTTGGTTAAACGTGACAACACAGCACAACCTACATTTGAATAGTTTGCAATACAAAAACAACTTGCATATAAACAAGTCGATAAGGTATCTGTAATATTCACAACCCGTAGGAGCGTTAAGTTGCATATGTTAAATTAAGTCCTGCGAAGCTGTGCGTTTTACACTTAACGTGCGATGTTAAGTTGAGATCCAATCAAAGCCAGACTCAGGAGCTCCTTACATCTTAATGCCCTTGATAAGCGTGGCTGGAGAACAATTTCATCAACCTGCCAATAGATACTTTTACAATTTGCTTTAATTGCCGTTGAATTGAATTGTCTAAAACTTTTCCGATGAAAGAGGATAATGTTAGCGGTGAACACTTACCCATAGCATTTGTGCTGTTACGACGTTTCTGGAAAATATGGAGAAGTTGATCATTGACCACGATGGATGTTTAATAAAAGAAAAAAATATTATTACTTAGGTAAATGTGGTATGTTATGGAGCTTTGTTTGGTCCTTAAAGGTACTCTATTTCTAACGTGCAAGGCGATGTAGGTTAATGATAGATGTATTACAGTATTTTTTTTTATCCTGTCGAGAACGGAAGTGTGTGTTTCAATGGAGACCGAGATGAAATAAATATTAACTAAATACTCTTTGGTAAGACCTTCATCTTGGCTTCAGTGAAACAGACAACGTATGAGCCAACACATTAAATTAATTTATAGTGTAACCTGAGCTCCGACATATTTTCCCGTTTCTCCACCTGACTGCATCTTCACCTAGTCGAAATAATATAACTAGCTGTGTACTCCTCTTATTCGTTCCAGTTTGCTGTTTTAAACCAATATTCTGGTGCGAAAGTTAATGTGCGTTTCATGATCAGCATACTCATTCGTGTCACTCTTGTATGCCAATACCGATTGTATGTGCTCCAATTTCTAATTAAGGTATGCCGATTTTATTGTATTTGAGTCTAAATATACCATAGCTAGTTAAATGTGTTAAAGAGTATATAACAATTACACACACATGCACAAGTATATATGTATAAACATTATCACAATGCAGTTTGTAAAAAAAAAAGTGTGAGTTTAATCAATTGAGTTCATTAGCCTGCCCCAACCAATACAACAATAACAAAGTGCTTGCTTTTGTGTTATAAAAAAAAGAGGACTGCATTTAATTTTGTTTTATGTCAATCCTTTTGCTGTGTAAATAATGTACATGTGTTCTAATATAGCATTATTTTGAATAAAGTATGGCTTTTTTTGTAAACAGAATGACATTGTGTTTCATGTATGACTATGTGTACGGAATAAGTGGCCTACACAGCGTTAGTGTAACGGTTAGTGCGCTACGCAACGAACCTGGCTACCCGGGTTTGATTCCCGATCACGGTCAACACCAAAGACGATTGGCTGAACCGGTCATGGGCCTCCCGTAGGTCAACTGCTTTGAATGAGTACCTGGTGCAGTGTGTAGACATCGCCACAAGGGAAACAAAGGCGTTCAGGCGTGTTGTTGGCAAGCCACTGTGCTGGCCTTTTTAGGTGCTCGCTAACAGTACTTTTCCCCCACAATCTGTTAAGGCTATACGGGGGGGGGGGGGGGGGGGGTCTTTGGTATTTGTGGTACTTGAATTCAAGTATTTGCTTCGAATTTGATACTATTGTCACGGGATTATTGAATAAAGAAAAACATTGTTATTCACATATCCATGCAGACCCTTCTTGGTTCACATCAAGTTTCAAGTATATTCTGTTTAACCAGGTGAAAAATCAGTGATGTGGGAGGCTACACACTTCCACATTCCTTTTATCCAGACATTATACAGCCTTTTGAGCTCTACAAGTATGAGTGTATAACAGAATCTGTTGTGTTACCCACAGTCAACGCAAAATATCCTAATTCATCACACAGCTGATGTGGGATATTGCATGGAGCTGAGATCACAAGTCTCACAACTCATGGTGCAGATGTGTGCGTGACCAACAACACAACAATCTATACTAAGGCATGGGGTCCAGGTAGGCCTGAAGGTGAAAAGGCAGTGCTGTAACCTCATGAGTTGGAGCTTGAGCACGGATAGCTACTTTTGCTTTTCAATCACTAATTGTGCCTGTATTTACAGCATGTTAGCTAATACTTAATGATAATCATAATTCGACATTATCCATTAAAATTTTGTCTAAATTTCACGATTATTTTTAAGTTGGGTTGGAGAGTTCATTAGTATTTTTAAAACGGTTGTTTTTATGTTCGTGCGAGGAAACAATCAAATCTGTTCTTGCAGTTGTGTGAGAAACACACCTCACTTGTCGTACTGCTTACATTAGCACATTATTGAAATGCAAGAAAAACATAGTGTGCCGCAACTATAACAGAACGGCAATAAATACCCAAACCCACCTGTACAAAAATGACACTATCCACAAATGTACATACAAAACAGGGAGAAGGGTGTAAACCAACGAACTCATAACAACAACACATCAACAAGCAAACAAATCACGTACAACCTCGGGATCCCCCCTACCACCACACCTCCCACTTTCACCGTGTAACAACGCTCGTAAGCTCAATGGCGGCGAGGATCAGCCAATAACCGCCATCACTCAACGAGCGCGACAAGCAACTGACAAGCGTGGGAGCGTGTGTGCAAGGGGATCACGAAAAACAAGTCTTTGAGCGAGTCCGTGATGCTGGGCCCCCAGGGGAGGTGGGCTTGCTCACCCTGGAGGTCCCGGGGGGAATGTGTAAATGTTCCACCGAACTCAGCTCCTCACGGAGAGCAGTAGGCTGGGTCGACGGATCCTTCGTGCTTGAAGCCTGTAAAGTTGGCATGTGCGGCCGTTCAGGGGATGTCAGTCGCGCAGCACCTTAGGGTGTAGGGAAGCGTAGGATGGCGGTGATGCTGGGAGGCGCCGTCGTGGTATGCGGCAGCCCGATGACACGTGCCCCAGCAGGCCGCAATTGTAGCAGGTAACACGGCCGCCTCTGGAACGTGACGGCGATCTTGTCCGTCGCTTCTCGTCCCTACGTCACGCGCCGCCATCACCCTGAGTCGACGTGCATGCCGAAAGGGACCCCGGCTCCATGCGGGACATGGCACATGTCACCAGCACCCTGTCCTGTTGTAGAAGTTGCTGGGCTTGGATGCACTTAGCGACTTTAAGAGACGAAACGTCATCATCTTCAGCTGGAAGGATGGTGTGGAGGGTTGTCGTCAAGGGCAGCCATCTCTCGAGGACCAACGTGTCGATTCCATCATAGTCCATTTTAGGGAAGGCGGCTTTCGCTAGCGCCAAAAGCGTGCTACGGAAGGCGAGGGCCAGCTCGTTTTCCCCCTTCTGTCGCGTAGCGAATTTGTGACGCGTGTTCACCGGAAGCTCGTAAATAGACACCATCTGGTCGAAAGCCTGCGTGAGGGTGGACCTCTACGGCAGCGGGATGGTGAGAAACGCTGCAAGGGCATCGTCGTCGAGGGCGGCAGGCAACGCCCGTAGCGCCTCCGCCTCCGTCCATCCCGCCAAGTCGGCGTTCGTGAGGAACCGCCGCTTGAAAGCCACCCAGTCACCACTGGTAGCCGACGTCGGAGAGCCGGGATGTCCATCGGCTTTGATGGCGCGACTTCAATATTGGCGGGCTGCGCACTCCGCGCTGGTGACAAAATGGCGGCCGAATGCGCGGGCTGCGCCGCCGAGTTCCCCGCCTGCTGTGAAATGGCGGCAGAACCGCCGTCCTTGAGCGGCATCGCCGCTCCCTCCTTCACCGGCCAGACCGTGGGATTGATCTCCATGAGGAGCGAAGCCGCAGCCTGGAGGAGCTCCGCGAGGTGACCGTGCGCCTCCCGGAGGGTCGCTTAGGGTGGTGACCACCCAGCTAACTACACTATACGTAGGAGTTACATCTACGAAGGGTCGGACCCATATTCGGATCCCCGACCAGGTGCTGATGCCTTGTAGGATGTAGAGCTTCCAGCTTATAGATGTAGAGCTTCCAGCTTCTCAGGGACCCACCTTATATCCTCCCGGGTCGGGGCCGCTCTGCCCTCGGCCCCGCCCACCTTCTCGAGCATTCTAGCTCCCTCTAGATTCCCCTCGAGAGCTCTCCCCGGACACGTGATCACCCCCTAGCCCCTCCCCCACCTGGGGGCCTTCTCAGTGGACACTGTGGATCACGTGTCTACGGGGTCAACCAGAGTGCCATGGCCTGGGGCAACCCTGTCTCTGGGCTGACACTCTCCCGCCTCCCCTTGTGGGGGCCCGCACTACACGCTATGCGTGGTGCCTGCGCTATCCCACCCACCCACGGGGTGTAGGCGATGACGGTGCATCGCACGCCGTGCTGTGCTAGAGCCGGCCTACACAGCAACCCACACGGTGCTGTCCGCGATGTAAGTATATCGCACGCCATGGCCCTCCCGAGCCGGCACCATATGGTGACATCCCCGATGTCACTACACGTGTTAGCTCCATCTCTGCATCAT